GAAAAATTGAGAACTGATTTAATGAAATAATGCTGCATAGATTTGATCCAAGTCATGTTATAATATTAACTGATAACCATGTAAAAAATTGAGCACTAAATAATTGTATATTTTATACCTACTGGCCCACAAATTCAATCACACTTGATGTAGAGTTATGTTAAAATGGAAAAAGATCGTTTTATACTAGTTACTTGGTGAGTTTCTAGCCTACTTTTGATTTGCAATGATTCTCAGCAAAAACCTGTTTATGCAAAAATGTATTACATACAGTTACACTGCAGTTTTTTTGTGCCACTTTTCGTGATTATTTTGATCCTAGAGAATAATGCTAAATAATTGACTTGCAAACTTTTTGGTCAGTGCACTGAGATGACTTAACTCCCCAAAAGACAAAATCTATTGACAAAAAAAAATAATAAAATACAGAAAAAGAGCCGCAAAAATTCTCAGTGTAAGTGGGCCTTAATAGTGTAAAGCAAAGGATCTTTTTCCTTAGAAAACACAAAAGAGGTCACTCTGTAATGATGGTGATGATGATGATAACAATACCAAATTTAAATCACATCACTTTTACTAGTAAGGATAATCACTATTTCTAATAAACATTTGAAAATATTGTATTTATTATGTAAATGTTGTAGTTCAGGTTCAATATGATTTTGAACCAGTTCAATTTCTTCTGAACTGGTTCAGTTTATTTTGAGCCAGTCCAATATAACTCAATCCAGTACATATCAGTTTAGGGTTAGGGTTAGGGTTAGGTTTAGGTTTAGGGTTAGGGTTAGGGTTAGGGTTGGGAATAGGGTTGAGCCAGCATTATATAAAAATTTTCTTCATTAATAAATTACAATTAAGATAAAAACAATTTGCAAACATTACTACCAACAAAATCCTTGATGGTATAATTGGTAGTACTGTGGACTATGAAGCAAGAGTTCAGTGGTTCAAACCCTGATGAAGGTAAGTGTTATTTCAAAAATTAAAAATATAGAAAATATCAATATTTCTGTAGGGTATAGGGTAAGTTAAAAAAGGAAATAGTAGAAGGTAGAAAAGAAGATGATAGATAGAAAATGGGAGAGAATGAGATGGGATATAGTTCTTTTAAGAATGCCAAAGCAAAAAAAAAAAAGAAAAAAGACCAGTATAAGAAGTCTTGTACTGGAACAAATTAGATTAAACTGGTTCAAAAATATATTGAAACTGAACTACAACATAAATAATAACAGAGTCACCTGTAAATATGATGATTTGGATGATTTAGACAACATTAAACCTTGAGCATGTATACTATAAACATTTTGAAAAATATTGTATAACAATATCAAGCTCCACCAAAACCTAATCTTGAAAGACAGTGAGTTACATCACAGTAAGTGTCCCCAGTGGGAATACTTTAAATAAAAAAGAACTTTTGACAGCTTGCAGAAGACTGTGAAGACCACATGTATCCAAGATGTACTGACAGAAAACTGACATAGAGCAATATTCTGTAATAGCNTACGTGGTACTCTTTGGGGTCGTGGCTGTAGTACTGCCATAGGACACATTTGTAGTTCTGTCCTATTCACTACTTTAGTCTGTCCATGACCATCTGCTGGTTCAATGACGTATCTGCTATTGTCCAGTGTTTCAACTACTTTAAACACTTTGTTGCTCCAACGATCCTGGATCTTGTTGCGACCTTTAATACCTCTGTTTCTGATAAGCACTCGATTGCCTGTCTCTATGGTTGGTGGATCTGTTCTGTTGCTGCGATCATATATTTTCTGTCTTGTTTCAGCTTGTTTTATGAGGTTTTCTGCTGCTCTTCGCTGAGAATTCCTCAGTTCTTCCTGGTGTCTGGTTACCCAGGTCTTGTCCTGGTTGATTGGCTTCTTCATTTCTGTCAATCTGTCAAGCGGTAAGCAAGGGTCTCTTCCGAACATCAGGTAGAATGGTGAATAGCCAGTGGTAGCATGAGGAGTTGCATTATATGCATAGCACAGCTCCTTAAGATGTTCTGGCCATCGTTGCTTCTTTTCTGGTGGCAAAGTTCTTAAAAGCTCATGTAGYGTCCTATTAAATCGCTCACATTGGCCATTCCCTTGGGGATGGTAGGGTGTTGTCCTCGACTTYTTTATTCCATAGATTCCACAGAGTTCTTTGACTATTTCTGCTTCGAACGATTTTCCTTGGTCTGAGTGGATCCTCTGTGGTACRCCATAGACTAAGAACCACTCCTTGATGAGCGCTTTGACTACAGTTGTTGCCTTCTGGTCTCTGGTGGGGATTGCAACAGTAAACTTAGTGAAGACATCTGTAAGCACAAGGACGTTCTCCCTTTTGTCCAATGCTGGCTCTATCARGGTGAAATCCATTGCTAGTACTTCTAAGGGTTTGGTTGCAATGATGCTCCCCATCGGTGTCTTTGCTGTTAAGTATGGGCCTTTGGCTATTACACACCGCTCGCACTTTGATATCCATCKCTTTATGTCTGCCTGCATTCCTGGCCACCAACATCGCTGACGAATTAGTTGTTCGGTTCTGTCTGGACCTTGATGTCCAAAGTCATTATGGGCTGCTTTGAGCACTTCACTCTGTAGTAGAGTAGGTAGCACCATCAACTGTTTGGATTGTCCATCATTACTGCCAATRTTCCGGTACAGTATACAGTCTTCTTCAACGATCTGGTCCCAGAAGCGTATGAGTTTCCGTGCGGCTGRYTGTTCTCTCCTTCTTTCTGCTTCCGTTGGCTTCCTTCCAAGCTCACGGTAGTGTATCAAKCGGCTGATTGCTYCATCTGTCCTTTGTAGATYGATGATCTGCTCCCGCTGTATCCCAGGAAGGTACATCGCCTGGTCTTGGATGTCTTCCTCGGTGTGCTCTCTTACTGATGCTACAAAGACTGCTGCYGTCTCGATTGGTTCTCGTAGGTCTTTGGGTAGTCTGGTAGTTTGAGTACTTGTGGCCATCACCTCTGCAACTTCCTGTTGTGTAGCTGTCTCCCACTCTCGGCGGCTAAGGGCATCTGCATTCTGATTATGCTTTCCTGGTCTGTACTGAATTTTGAAGTTGAAATCAGCTAGCTCAGCTGCCCAACGCTGCTCAACGGCTTTTAGTTTACTCTTTGTCTGTAGGTATGTTAGGGGGTTGTTGTCAGTGTAGACCACGAACTCAGATCCAAGCAAGTACTCACGGAACTTTTCGGCAACTGCCCACTTGAGAGCTAGCAGTTCCATCTTCATGGATGAGTAGTCYTTCATGTTTCTTTCTGCTCCTCTCAAACCTCGGCTGGCATAGGCAATCACTCTCGTCTTCCCATTCTGTTTTTGTGAAAGTACTGCCCCCAGGCCTCGGTCTGAGGCATCCGTCTCTACGATGAATGGTTCTTTGTAGTCTGGGTAAGCAAGMACTGGTGCACTTGTTAAGGCTCTCCTCAGRGAATTAAAGGACTCTTGGCATTCTGTGGACCATTGCTCCTCTGTTAAGGTAACTCTTTTTTTCTTGCCTCCCTCTGATGCTTCTGCTGTTAACCGGTGAAGTGGTGCTGCAAGCTGGGCGAACCCTGGAACGAACCTTCTGTAGTACGAGGTGAATCCCAGGAATGAGCGTAGTTCCTTCAGCGTCTTAGGTACAGGCCATTCTGCTACAACTTCAGTCTTTGYTGGGTCTGTAGCCACTCCTTCTGSCGATACCACATGTCCAAGGTAGGTCACGCTTTTGCGAAAGAACTGGCACTTTYCTGGTTCGATCTTTAGTCCATGCTCCCTTAGTTTCATAAACACCACCTCGAGTCTCCTCAGATGCTCGGCGATGCTGTCGCTGTACACRATTATGTCATCCAAGTACACCAATAGGGTCTGCAGGATGTCGTCCCGGAATATGGTCTGCATCAGGCGCTGGAAGGTTGCTGGGGCATTACACAGCCCAAATGGCATTCTAACGTACTGATACAGGCCCATAGGAGTGGTRAATGCAGTTTTRTGGCAGTCCTTTGGGTCCACTTCAACCTGGTTGTAGGCAGATGCAAGATCAATTGTTGAGAAGTGCTTTGCTCCACCCAGGGCGTCTAGAGATTCGTCTATTCGTGGCAGTGGGTAGGCGTCCTTCCGAGTCTTAGCATTCAGCTGCCGGTAGTCCACACAGAGGCGAAGGGCTCCTGACTTTTTGCGAACTAAGACAATGGGCGAGGCGTAGTCACTTTGGCTTGGCTTGATGACTCCGCGGTCCAACAGTTTCTGTAGGTGGTCCTTCACTTCTTTAAACTGGTTTGGGGGAATCCTTCGGTGGCGCTGGTTGACCGGAACGTCGTCATCGGTGTGGATGTGGTGACGCACAGTCGGAGTACAACCNCTACTTCTTTGACGCTTTGAACGACTCCAAGGCATGTACGGGGCTGTAGCCAGATTCCTTTACCAGTAGGGTTTACCACCTGGATGACGTAGCATGACTTGGAAGCATTCAATAGGGTACTGGCAACCTGTAATCCACCTTGCAGTGGTCTGTTTGGGGGTTCTACCATGGCGTTGGCTCCAACTGCTGCTCCTGTGACGGCAACATCCATAATGGAACTTGGTGGCACGAAGACAGCACTCTTGCCAGCTACCTTGACCAACCTCCGCTTGCAAGACACTTGGACTTCCTGCGATACTGTRTCTCCTTTGGGTTGTATCAGCTGGGCCCACTTGGGTATCTTTGCAAGTACATTGGTCCCCAGTATCCCGGGTCGCTCTCTCCTCTGACCGACAGTGGCTGCTGTATCCTTTTGGACGAGCACTCCGCACCTTGGGACTGTCACTCCTCCCACCATTACATCCAGCTCCAGGTATCCAAGGTATGGGATCTCGAGTCCATTGGCCCCTCTGAGGTTTAGCATTCTCCTGCTGCTTCGTACTTGACCACACATGGGCTTGAGTTTCTGCTTATAGAAGGTTTCCGTTACCAAGGTCACTGCCGAGCCGGTATCTACCAGGCATTCTACGTCAATGCCTGCCATCTTTGCTGTGGTTGTGGGTGTCGCTCCTACGACATTTGTTGGGAGATGTGAGCCACTGTCATCCTCCTCCAYCGCTTGGCTCACTGCGGTGGAGGTTTGTAGTTTGACGCCGGCTTGCTTGGTTGTCTGCTATTCTGTGTTCTTTTCGGCGTCTTTGGGCAAGAACGGGCAAAATGTCCTTCCTGTCCACAGTTGAAACAGCAGTCTGGCCGCCACGGTTTTGATTCCATGGCAGCCAGGAGTTTTGTCAGGGTCGCCTGTTGCTGATCCATCACCTTCCTCTGCTGCTCGGCATGGCTCTTGAGAGACTGTTGCTGCTTCTGAAGTTCCTCCGCGAGCACCTTCTGGCCACGTACTAGGTCTTCAATTACCCTCTGCTGATTTCTGGCAGGCCTGACTTCATTACACAGAAGAGGATCCTCTGTCGCTTCCACGGCAYGCACACCCACTCTCCGCTGGGATGGGGTATCCTCCTCTAGGTAGCGGTGGACCTCCAGCCGTACATCCTGGAAGGTGGCGTCCGGGTGRTCTCGTTCCCACCTTTTGATGTCCCTTCGCAGGGAAGGGTCACGCAGGTTTTCGACGAACTGTTCTTTTAGGAGTTTGTTTTTGTCCAGAGGGTGGTCTGCACCCTGTAGTCTTTCCACTTGTCCGAAGAGGACCATCAGAGCATGGGCGAAGTCCTGCACCTGCTCCCTGTCGCCTTGCCGTCGTGCGAAGAACTTCCGCATTGCTTGGGTTGGCGTCAGCTGCTCACTGAAGGTGTCCCTCAATATCTTGTAAACCCCATCYGGCTTGTCCCACTGGGCTGCAGGATGYAGTTTAACCTCGTCCTTGGCCACTCCGTCCAGGTGWGATATCAGGGCGTCCACAGCTTCTGCATCAGGCTGGTCCCGTATGGCCCTCTTTGCGTCAGCTATCCATTCCTCAAGCGTCTGGTCATCCCTGGCTCCTCCGTACCTCCCAAATTTCCGTTCTCTGGGGACGGTTACGCGTATGGTGGATGGGYTGGTACCACTTGTGGATGGCTGTGATTGGTCGGTTGCACCTGTGGCTTGCTTCTGCAGCAGGGTCTCCAATTCTTTAAGTTTGATCGTCAAGGCGGCTACTTGTTCTTCCATCCTTCGTCGTTAGTACGTTCCCGTTTATTCTTTAATAAAATACCTTAGAATGAAACACTCAGATCCCACTTCTGACACCAAAATGTAACAGGTGGACTTGCGCGGCCAGTGAGAACGAATGAGATCTGAGGATTCTTAGGCAATTTTATTTAGGAATAAAATCACAATTGATTACACATAGTATAAACGGGAACGTCTAACACGTTGCTCT